AATTTAGTAGATAGAATTGTCATTAATGCAGATAATATGTTGAAAGAACTTCAGTTTAATGGTGATTTAGAATATGAACTCCTTAAATCATTTCTAACATCGATTCCTGTATGTTTTGGGGACAGTGTTTTATTTGATGTGCATCTAGCTTCATTCTTAGATCCACGTTCTAAATCGGACGAAATTTCACCTGTAAGTTTATTCATACGTACAACATTAACATTTATAACATAATAATTAAATTTAATATAATTTATACAATAATTTATACAACATACTAGGTTATTATAGAATATACACTAAAAAAATGCCAAGCATATTATTTAAACAATATTTTTTCAGACATTGTTTGGTTATTAACGTGTTCTCTAGCCCATTTTCCTAAACTTCTTAGTATTAAATCTTTTAATTTATTAAAACAGTTAACAGGCAATCGTGTAAGGTTTTGTATGAAATTTTGATATTTCTCGTCCCAATCCCACAACCTTTCGAAAAATTCATAGCCATTGTCGCTATAAAATTTTAAATTAGACAACTCCCATTTTACAAATGCATCAAGAATATCGTCATCATAAGATTTATCGTCTATTTCAGAGCAAGATTTTTTTGCAAACAACTGGATTTTATGAAATTCAAAGTCTTTAGTTAGCCAATTACAAATTGTTACTGCATAGTATCCATCAATCCTAGTATCTGGCTTGAATTCATAAATTGAAAACATAGTAGATTTCTCTTGCTGAGCTTTTAACTTTAATTGAAGGAATAAACGATTATATGCTTTATTTATTTGCTCTTTTATAATTTCAGAAGTAGATAGTTCAATATTTGGATTAACAAATCCAGCAGATTTTAAAGTATCAACAAAATTAAAAGGTAATCCAGAGGAAACAATAAATTTAATTAATGGTATATTAATTTCTGATTCAGAATTACTAAAGTTAATAGTTGATGTTGTAGATGTTAAAGTTGATGCTGTAGATGTTAAACTTGATGTTGTAGGTATTAAAGTTGATGTTGTAGATGTTAAAGGTGTTGAGGATTTCATTATACCATGTTTATTCTTAAGATGGCGAACATGATTAGAAGTAGCTCCACACCATATGTAACTTGCAGTGCATCCAGGAACTGTACATTTTGTCACTGTTCCATTCTCCCTTGGGACCTTGAATGGTTCAAAATATTTCCAACAAATGCTTTCCCTATCATTATTTTCTGTGCATTGGCGTTTTGTTTGTTGAGCTCCACTACTGCTAGTAGCAATTAGGTTATTCTCGTTATCATTAGAATTGGATGTTTGAAATATTTCTTGATTTCTTGCATATCCAGACATCATAAAAAGGCTATAAGTCTACTGGTAATGATAAATCATAGTACGTACGTACGTACATTTTATTTACAACGTTTATAGCAGTGTTACGTAACACCATGCAATACTTTTCTGTTTTTAACTTCTGTAACTGACGAATCAAAATAAGTTACAAATGCCCATATATGGCATAGAAACTATTGTGATACCTCCGAAAGAATTTTACCTAAATTTTTGATATGAAGTTGCCGAATAAATTTGATAGTAGCGCGCTTTGCAAAAAGATGTGACCTCAGCAGATCACGATAAAAGTCCTAGCGTTACGTATCGTAAGACCCTAGCATCATCACCCTAAAAAAAATTTGCTACCAGAGTCAGGGTTAGGTTTTGGGGTATTTTTGTTTTGATTTTATGTTGCAACTGATCTCAGATTTTAATTCGGCTTGATAGCGAAATTTTTAGGGTGGTGATGCTTTGGTGTCAACAACCGAGGGCGCAGTCATGTGATATTCCGACAATTCTGAAAATTTGAACTGTTTTCATTTTTTTTTTTCAAACATTATTTTCATGCTTTTATAAATCTCTTTTTATTATTACTGTATATTATCTTTTTGTTTTTTTTGGAAGGGTGGGCCCTATGAGAAAAGTGGTCCGGGTGTCAGTACGGGTTGGCACGGGGTTGTCTGGGTAGGCACGTGTCGTGTGGTACGTAAAGGCACGAAGCACGAACCAAACCGTGACAGAATGGTACGTATATTACGTTTTACGGTATTGGCACGTGCATTGGGTAGCACGTATGAGCACGATTTATTATTGGCTTGTTTTGGCACGGGTTATAATCCACGTGCATACACGTACAATATACGTGATAGCAGGAAAGATGACACGTATATGTACATTTTATATTATATAATAGCAAGTGTCAAATAGCACATTCGCGCATGCTTTATAGAACTGGAGGGGGGTGTTATGCGCATATTGTATTGGATGGCACATGTTAGTTCAGTTAGATAATATCAATTTTTGTTTCGCAAATATTCTCACAAAAAATACCCACTCAAAAAGAAAGTCAATGCGAAGAAAAATCTTTTAGTAAATGTTATTATTGTTGTAGTTAATGATTTTCCATTTATATGAACTTGGATTATTTGCATACTGAGA